AACTGACTGTTGTCTTAGTCATTGCTCTATTCCTGTGAGGAGACAGTATGACTACAGCAATTCTTATAAGGGAAAACATTTCATTGGGACTGGCTTACAGTTAAGATGTTTAGTTATTATCATCATGGGAAGCATGGTGGTATGCAGGCAGACATGGTGTTTCTGCCTCCCGAGTCCTGGGATAAAAGGTGTTCGCTACCACTGCCTGGGTGATGACTTTATGTTTCAAAGACAGGGAAAACTCTTACTAAACCTGGGGCTCCCCAGTTTGAGAAAAGCCTGCTAGCCAGTGATCTGCACGTCTCTGTCCCCAGACAGTAGGGTAGCAGATGTGTCAGCATCCTACCTTTACATGAGTGCTAGTGTTCCACACTCAGGTCCCTGTGCTTGTGCAGGACGCACTGTACTCATGGAGTCGTTTCCCAAGCACCCCACCTCCTTTATTTGAGTCTGGGTCTTTACAGCTTTTGCACTCTTAATCGTCCTGCCTCAGTATTAAAGGTTTATCCTACTGGCTCGTTTCTCTGCTTTTATTTTATTTTTTAATAATGGAGATAAATATCCTTGCTTGTAAAATTCTAAATGACTTTTAAACTTTGTTTCTAAAGTATATGCTGAATTAGACTTGTACAGTAAGGATAATTTTTTAAAAATATTTGAAAAAATGAAATTAGATACTTTTCTTTCCTTTTTTGTTAAGGTGTGAAAGACTTTATTTTGGCTCGCTGTGAAGGCGTAAGTCATAAACAATGCCACACCAGTTTGGAATTATGATTAATAGGGTGGTATTTATTTAAAAGGGAAAAAACTTACAGATCACCGTCAGCCCTCTGCGCAACCAGGAAGGAAGTCTAGTTGCTGGCTGAGCAGGAAGTGAAGAGAGAGAGGAGAGGGAAGTGGCTGCATTTTTAAAGGGAGAGAGACCACGCCCCAATGGGCTGGTATCTCAGCGGCGATAGGCTGGAGGAGTGGGAGGACCTCCCGTAACATCGCTGCTCGAGGACACTGTCACCATAGCAGGGAGCAAGGGAATTTTGAGAGTGTTGGTCACCTTGCAGTTTCAGTCAGGGAACTGCTAGAAATGAGTGTTGATGCTTTGCTTTCTTTCCATTTTAAAAACATTCTTTTTTCTTACATTTTTCTTCTTATTCAGTCTGCAGCTCTAGCCTGTGGGTAGAGTTTTCAGCTAAACCTGTTTGAGAGTGTCCTCACAAACATGGCTGTAAATCCAATCACATTGACAATATAGCAACTATCACATTTCTACCTTCTTGTCAGTTTACCACTTAAAATTTTAACATGCTACCCTGTTCTTCAAAGGCTTATGGATGTCTCATAAGACAAGATACCTTTGCTTTATCTATACTTATGACCAGAAATCCCAGTGGTTCTAATATTGCTCAGAAGCCATTAGTCTAAGTGGCAAGCTTGCTCAGTGGGCAAAGGCACCTGCTGCAAAGCCTGGCAACCTGAGTTTGAGCCCCAGGGTCATTAATGGTAGAGGGAGGGAAGCTCCTGCCAGTTTTCTTCCTGCCCCAACATGCTCACACGCATAGACAAACACAAATATGAACTCCTAACTGTAAAGCCCCTTGAACACATGTATAAAGATGGACCAAAGTAATATTGAACCCACTGGGGCAAACACCAAATGTTACAGTTCCATTTGTTTGCTGGCTTGTGATGGAATCATTTGGACTCCAACAGCTGTGCTACTAGATTCTCTCTCAGGTCAGATGTGCTCTTTGCCTATAGTTTTCTCTCAATCGAAGTCTCACAGTTCTGGCATTTTCTACATCCTGGCGTCTCCATTCCGACTCACTTTCTGCCTTTGTAGCTTCATGCTTTGGCTTTTTAAGGTCCCTTTGCAGGCAGTCCAACCCACTGTGTACTGTCAAGCTTCAGTGTCATTCTGGCATCTTAGTGTAAGCCTCTACAACACTACCACATTTGACTCTTGTGTGTCTGCAAGCTACATGGACAGCACTTCCGTGTTCTGTTGCAAGGACAAGGAGTGGCTCATCCATTGCTGTCATGCTTCTGTTCTTTGGCAGCTGAACCTGGGAAACCATTTCCCTAGCTAGGTAGCTGTTTTTGAGTTCCTTTATTTCCAGTTTCATTTCAGTCCTCCCTTTCAATGAATGCATATTTGCAAGCACTTGGGGCCTTAGAAAATGAGGTCTTGTCCTCAAGGAACTTTTCCTATTGTTCAAGTGTAAGGTTTTTCCTTAGTTGAATTAATCACTTTAATAACCACACCTACTTCCTCCACTCTCACTTTGTCTGTAACTTTAAACTCACTCATGTTCCTTTCTCTGCCTCAGTGAATATATTTAAGAAATATATTTCTGTATGTTATGAGATCTTGAAATTTCTTCTGCCGAACAGCTTAGCCTATTACTTTTAAACTCACCCTTAATTTGTAAAACACAGACAGAACACAAGAAATATTTTTGTCAGAATTTGAATGGACCTTAGCCCAGTTACTGATAGTTTTCATTTCCTCTGGAATTGTTTGAACCAGGCCTTTACTGTCTGCATTTCTTTTGGCATCTGGGTCTTCCGAACTCTTACCAGAATGGACCATTAATCTTGGTTTACATTTTAGGGCTTCTTTAGCATCCCATCCATCCTGCTTCAAACTTCTCCACATTACTTTTGCAAATCAGTTCCAAATGCCAAAGAACCACATGGTCAAGTTTATTACATCAACAGTGCCACTCCGTGGTAGTAATTTACTGTGTTAGTTACTTAGTTGTGGGAACCAAATTTCTTACAAGAAGCAATTTCAAGGAAGAACGATTTATTTTGGCTCCTGGTTTGAGAGTGTGATTCATCATGGTGGGAAAGGCATTGTGGTGGGAATGGAAGGCAGTTGGTTCCAATGTGTCTGCATTTAGGGGCAGAGAGAGATAAATGCTGTGTTTTTGATTCTTAAAGTAAAAATTAGGTCATGAAAACAATCACGATGGAATTAGGAATTATAAATCTTAACTGCTGAGGAACCAATACTTATTTCAGTTAAACTGACTAATTTTCAGAAAGAGAAACCTGCCTGTTATAAAAGGCATTAATGACTCATAGAACCTTTGTATGGTGGAGGCCTATTATACATGGCTACTTTGTAGGTCTTAAAGCCAAATAGTGTTGGAAATGGAAATTTTTTGTTGTTTTCATTTTTCGAGACAGGTTTTCTCTGTATCAGTCCTGGCTGTCCTGGAACGCACTTTGTAGGCAAGTGCTGGGATTAAACGTGTGTGCCACCACTGCCCAACGGAAATGAATTTTTTAAATACATCTATTCTTGTCAATTATTGCTGTTAGATCACATTATTAAAGGATTTTAGTGGATGTAAATTGAGGAATGTTATGTTTAAGGAAAAATTCACTTTGAGAAAATTATTTCAAATTTTTTTTCTAGGGTATTTGTAATCTAAGAGAAACTGAAGCTGTCTGTGTTCTTTGTCTTTTGGATGACTGGGTCCCCTCTATGAGATAGGGTGCTGAGGGAGTAGCCAGACTTAAGGTGGAGTGTAAAAAACTCATCTGGGAAACTGGAGAGATGGCTCAGTGGTTAAGAGCACTGCCTTCTCTTCCAGAGAACCTGGGTTCAATTCTTATCACCCACATGACAGCTCCAGGAACTAATAGCCTACACAGACATACATGCAGGCAAAACACTTATGCACACAAAATAAAAGTAAATAAGTTATTTAAAAATAAAACTACCTCAGCTGACTGAAACTGTAAAGCCTCTAATGCCGGCACTGGCTAGAGGGCTTGATGGTTCAGCTGGTAAGGTGCTTGCCACCAAGACTGAGTTTGATCCTTGGAAATGTACATGGTTGAGTGAGAAGAGTATAGACTCCAGTGATCTGTCTTCTGATTCCCACACTCATGCTGTAGTGAGAAGTCTATAGACTCCAGTGATCTGTCTTCTGATTCCCACGCTCATGCTGTAGTGAGAAGAGTGTAGACTCCTGTGATCTGTCTTCTGATTCCCACGCTCATGCTGTAGTGAGAAGTCTATAGACTCCTGTGATCTGTCTTCTGTAGTGAGAAGTCTATAGACTCCTGTGATCTGTCTTCTGATTCCCACGCTCATGCTGTAGTGAGAAGAGTGTAGACTCCTGTGATCTGTCTTCTGATTCCCACACTCATGCTGTAGTGAGAAGAGTGTAGACTCCTATGATCTGTCTTCTGATTCCCACGCTCATGCTGTAGTGAGAAGAGTGTAGACTCCTGTGATCTGTCTTCTGATTCCCACGCTCATGCTGTAGTGAGAAGAGTGTAGACTCCTGTGATCTGTCCTCTGATTCCCACGCTCATGCTGTAGTGAGAAGTCTATAGACTCCTGTGATCTGTCTTCTGATTCCAACACTCATGGTGTAGCACGTGTATATGTAACCACATGCATACGTACAAAATGAGTACACAAAGGAATGTTAAAAAAAACCCAAACACCAAGCCACCCACTAATGTCAGTTCTAGCTATTTAAATGACAGAATCGACACCCTCCCCCTTGTCTTTAAGAAATTTGTTCCCTTGGGTCCTCTGGAAAAGCAGCTAGTGTTCTTAACCCCTGAGCCATCTCTCCAGTCCCTACCAAATCTCTCTCTATCAAAGCTAAGAGACAAGCATTTAAGATGGCTGAAAATTCGTTTGTTCATCTATATGTCAATCTAGTTTAAATAAATTTAAAACTGTAAAAAAAAAAAAAGAAATTTGTTCCCTACTACAAGACTCAATTTTGGACAAACATTTAAAAAAAAACTTCATCAAATATAGTATTAAATTCTAATAGGAAATTTATCTGTTGAGATCTGGAATTCTGGTTTTTAGCACCTGTGAAGAAGCTGTATGCCCCTGTCCTCTTTATTCTGTGTTTTATGCCTTACCCTGTTCGTGAATGTTAGTATTTTTTTTTTATTATTGTCCTTATTAATTCTTTCTAACTTTCTCTTTCACGTTTTCTTCCTGGATTTGCTGTTTCCTTCAGTCTCACTTCAAGGTCAGTATGCTTGCTCTAAAACTAATGTGATTGAGGCTCATTTACTAACATTGTCTCTCATCCTAACAGGGACTAAAATGATACAATATATCCCAGGAAAATGGTGCCTAGAAATCTGTTTCTAAGAACACAAAATGTCAGGAATGACAGTGAATGCAAACTGTTGTGCTTTGAAAGAGAATATTCAGAATGCAAAACTGAGACTGAGCGTGTTTTCACTGAAAGAACTGATGATGCACAGAGCCCTCAGGGGACAGGGTGGAGAATTGTTTTAATGTTTTTGGCACTTTATTAGAGATGTCTTGGTTAAGAACTTAAGCAGGGTAAAAGGAACAATAACATTGTAAATTGAAATGTAAAAATTACAGTAGAGTTAAAATTATGAACTTGTTTATATCATGTATGTTTTACCTAGCAATTCTTTTATAACAGTGAAATGATATGTAGTTTCTGTTTATGAAAACACCCATCTCTTGATACACATGGCTGGCACTAAACAGGATAAATTATTATCCTCATGGCGATCTAGGCCCCTGTAACATGATTGCCCCAGATTCAGGCAGACAAATACTTAGTTGTAATGTTTGTTTTAAGTATGGTTTATGTTTTAAGTATGGTTTTCCCCAGACAGGATTTAAATAGGTAACTCATATTGGTCTTAAATTCTTGATCTTTCTGTCTCTTTATATTATATGAACTCCAGACTGAAAAGTAGCTTCAGATTGACTTTCCTAGGTTTCTCATGTGTAGGTTTTTTCTTTATACAATTGGGATGATTATCAAATGTAGCATTTAAATGAGTTAATGCAAGTATCATAGGTGTACAGGAAATGATCATCAGATGGTACTATTATTACTGCCTCCTTTGGTCTTTTTAATGGAATTATATTTGGTCTATTATTGTACCATTGCCATACATTTCAGATTCTTTACAGCACTGCACTATTCATGTTGATTGATACCGTCACTAACAAAGTACAAATTGGGCTTCCAGTGTGTATGTGTATATACATATATATGTATATATGTTTAATTGATTAATATATACTTAATACCACGAGGCTCGTGATGGCACAGGACACTAATTTCATGCAGGCACATATATGCTGCACAGTGTTGGCTGCAGCGCACTGCAGCCTGTCACTATATATGGGTAGAAAATGGCATTTCATCTACAGTGACTGATACATGAAGGCTTCACATTTCATGGACTATGCGATAATGAAGAAGATTTATTAGAAAGACACTTCTGTCTCTTCTCATTGAAATTTTAATGCTTAAGTTGAAGATCTAAGGTACTGTTTTTGAATAGATCTTATTTTGATAAATTAACCTTTCCCAAGCCTAACTCATAAAAAGAAAAGGTATCTTCAACTGGACCTACAGAGTCTTTTTCTTGTCTTTGGTGAACTACCTTCTTCCACCTCCTCCATGAAAATAAATGAAGTTTAGATTCTAAGCAATCTAAGGCTTAGAACATGGAGGATGTAGACCAGAGTTCTGTGTCTTCATAAATCTGAAAGAAAATACTGGATCCCTTACTACAGAGCAACATGAGAGTGTGAAAAGATGAGAGCAGACTACAGTCAAACGTTAGATACTCAGAAGCCAGGTGAAATCCAGACACCTTGTAGATTTACAGAGGAAGAAATAGATAACAACTGACAGCATTGAACGAAATGGTAAGGAAGGGAGAGAACTTGCTGCAAACGAAAGCAGAAAAAACTTCATAATAAATCTCCTCAAAACTAGTATGCTACATGAGTCTGCTCCTGTGTGAGAAGCAGACACTGTAGAAGGATCTACGTGGAGAAAGGATCCATCATGCCTCACTGTTTATGGCTGGAGTTAGACAGTGCTGAGGGGGACTCTTCCTTGAAAGCACTCTGCAGGAAAACTAGAACATTCACCACCGTTACCAAATCCCAGAGCCTCCCCTTCTCTTTTCTCTGACTAAGCACACGATAAGGAACAGATGCTAACCTGGATATACAGATGTGGGTGCAGATGTTCTTGGGGTGGAGATTTCTGGACACTGGATAAAGCCTTGGTAAGCAGAGACTATTCTGTTGTAAGGGAATTTAAGCTTGCACATGTCCCTCAGAGCTTACACATTGAACTCTGCAGATGCAAAGGTTGACTAGCCAGCACACTGAAGTTTGTAGCTGGAAGGTGGGCAGTGCGATAAGATGGTACCCCATGGCGAGACTCCAACTCAACAGCAGTCAGTAGCTTGAAGAGTAGTCCCCTGAGTTTTAGGAATTCAATTTAGCTGGAAATACAATCTGTAACCCAGCCCATTCTGATCTAAACTGTTGTATGCTAGAGAAATAAGCACCTATTTTCTCTCCTGCAGAGTTAGCTGCAGAAAGTAGTTTAGCAGATCATAGAAACCACAATCATTGCAGCATGAAAGAAATAGTGACTGATAGTATAATTGTGTTAGTTAGGGTTTCTGTTGCTGCGATGAAACACTATGATCAAAAAGCAAGTTAGGGAGGAAGGGGTTTATTTGACTTATATTTCCATATATCACTGTTCATCATTGAAGGAAATTAACTTAGGATCTGAAACAGGCAGGAGATGATGTAGGGGCCATGGAGAGATGCTGCTTACTAGCTTTGTTTATGGTTTTCTCAACCCACTTTTTTTCTTAATAGAACTCAGGACCACCAGCCTAGGAATGGCAACACCCATAATGGGCTGGCGCCTCTCCCATCAATGACTAATTAAGAAATTGTCCCACAGGCCGAATCTTATGGAGGCATTTTCACTTGAACCTCACTTTTTTTTTTTTTTTTAAACAAGACAGGGTTTCTCTGTGTAGCTTTGGAGTCCGTCCTGGAACTCTCTCTGTAGACCAGGTTGGCTTCAAACTCACAGAATTCTCAACCGCCTCTGCTTCCCAAGTGCTGGGATTAAAGGCGAGCGCCACCACCGCCCGGTGAGTTTGACTTCTTTCAGATAGCTCTTTAGCTTGCATCAAGTTGACATAAAGCTAGCCAGCACACTAATATTATTTTTATTTTTACTATTGCATTTGTAAGTTTTAGTCTTTTCTTTTTTTTTCTTTTTTCTTTGTTTAAAGATAGGGTTTCACTGTGCAGCCCTGATTGACCTAGAACTCACTGTGTAGACCAGTTTGGGTCTCAAACTCACAAAGATGTGCCCACCACTGCCTCTTGAATGCCAAGATTAAAGGCATGTACCACCATGCCAGACTGTGGTAGTTATTTTTATTTTGCTATTGTTTTCTTTACTGTTTCTTATAATTGCAACTCAACACATTTTCCCTCTCATTCTTAATGTACTTTCTCCTTGCTCATCTCTTCTTGTTTCCTAATTAATAAACTCAGCTTTAATAGTTCTACTTTGTCCTAATAGCATTCTAGCTCATTAGTTTACTGATTTCCCCTGGAATGTAATTCAAGTACTGTCTCACTCTAGAGGTGATGGACCTGGTACAGTATAGCCATTCAATGAGGCAAACTAAAGTCTCATGCAATAGGCAACTTTATTCAGATTCATACTATTTATACTCTCAGGGTTAATGAGAATAACATGAGTAAAGTGTACCATCATAAGGACAAAATGTGTTTTCCATAGAGGCATATAATGTGTGAAAACCACAGAGCAGAGGAAGTATTGAAAGCTTCTAAAGAAAACATAGATGCATGTAAAACGCAGACTCGTTGGAGTAATCTCAGAGGTCCCAGCAGAAACCCTAAAAACTAGGAAAGCATAGAGTCCTCATACTTTAAGTTCTGAAAATAATTACCAAAAACATACCTTTTAATTGTTGGAGAAGTAAAGACATTTCAAGATCAGCAGAAATAAAAACAATTAATGATCACAAAACCAGCACTACAGAAGATACTTAAAAGAATTTTATGCACAAGAGGGAGAATGGGGGAGAAAACTGGTCACAGTAACAGAGTATCTAGCAACATACAGATCTAATGAGAGGAATAGATAGGTAAACAAGAACTAGGAGAGAAACATATCCACCTAAGTCAATCAGTAATCACCTAAGATAAATCCAGGAAAAAGAAACAGCAAACATTACTTTAACCCTTGTGCTGGCTATTTTTATATCAACTCCGTAAAAGCTATTGTCATTTGGGAAGAGGGAATCTCAGTTGAGGAAAAGCCACCACTGCATTGACATGTGGTACATTTTCTTGATTGATGATTGATACAGGAGGGCCCAGCTTATTGTGGATCGTGTTCCCCGTGGGCTAGTAGTGGTCCTGGATGCTCTAAGAAAGCAGGCAGAGCAATCAATGAAGAGCTACTAGTTCCCCAAATAAAGACTATAAACCAAGCTAGTGAATCAAAACTCAAGAGCCAGGGACCAGAGAGATGGTTCAGCAGCAAAGAGCTCTCACTCCTCTTGGAGAGGACTCAGGTTCCATTCCCACCACCCTTGTGGAGGTTTACAGTCTTGCATAATTCCAGTTCCAGAGCACTTCATAATCTCTCCTGGTCTCTGCATGCACTTGACACATATGTGGTGTACCTGCATAAATGAATGTGAAAACCCATAGATATAAAAATAAATCTTACTCTCCTTCCCCCTACCAAACAAAAAAAAAAATTCAAGATCCAGTTGTTCACTGTTCACAAGGGACAGACCTTATTGGTAAAATTACATACAAAGCACAAGGCAAAGAATGGAAAGCCGTATGTCTACCAAGCAGTTGCAAGTAGGAAACAGGCAGAAGTAGCCATTCTTAAATCTGACAAAGTAGACTTCAAGTCTAAGTTAGAAGGGATAAAGAAGGGTACCACTTATTTATAAGGGAAAAATTCAAATATGATAGAATGATTATAAATACTTAGTGCAGAATGTTTATTTACTGAGTTTATATAGGGACAGTTGGGTCCAGATTAGGATAATGCTTCTTGCTCAACAATAGAGAAGTCTAGGCAAACAAACGAAAAGAAAAACAAAAAAGTAATTTCAGACTTAGACTGTATCATAGATCAAATGGAATTAA